CCTTCCTTCCTTCCTTCCTTCCTTCCTTCCTTCCTTCCTTCCTTCCTTCCTTCCTACCTACCTACCTACCTACCTACCTACGCTTCATTCTGCAGTTAATCTTCCCCTTCGGAAAAAGTTTAAAAAGAAAAAAAACTTGATTGATGCAGCTGGACTGCACTCACGTTGTGAACCTCTGGAAGGTGCTCTCCCCCATCCCGCCCCCTAGGTACGGATCAAGACGCCCCTCCTGGAGAGGGGACCCAGCGGAGAGCAGATCTCTCCTTTGCATGATCTCAGGAGCTGCTAGAAGAAATGCCATCTTCCTGCTCTGTCTGCCACCCTCAGAGTTGGCTGTCATTGCTTCTTACGCCCTGTGGACAGGGCTGGTCTCTTAGAGGCACAATCCCCAATCTCCCTGACTGGTAGCAAAAGTTTGTGGCTGTCCAGTTCTTCCCCACCCAAAATACCTTATTCCCCCCTCTAGCCAACTTCCAAGCTGTAACCTTACTTCTTCCCTGCCCAGCTCCCAAGGACGAAAATCCTTTCCCTTCCCTCCTTGCAGAATAAAAGGAACTTGGAATGTAAAAGAAAAAGCTCTAATTCTTTACCTTGCTTTAAGAAGTAACGTTTCTTAGTTTTTCGTTGGTTTCTAAGCCCATATTTTTCAGGGGGTTGAAAGAAAAAGAGAAGAAATCACATTTATTTTCTTGGAAAATTAATGAAACTTAGAGATTCAAAAGGCACGCTCGATTTATATTCAGATATTTCTATAGCAGGAAAGATATTTTTGGAAGGGAGAGAAAAAAAAAACAGGACTATGCAAACTTTAAGATAAAGAATTGCCGGAAGAGAGAGTTTTACCGTGTTCTGAATTTTGAAATCTTAAAGCAGATAAAAGCTGAAATATGCTGCCATCCTTAAAAGCATTTATAGAAAAGGTTATAACTAGGGTTTTTTCCCCCACCCCGCTGCTCCATTTTCAAATATATTTTGAAAAGTTTGGGGCCTGGAGAAGAATCAGTCGCAGGTCTGCATATTCCCCCACCCAGTTTTAACTCTCTTCTACTATTTATCATTTTTGTATTGGATGCTGTGCTGTCTTTGACTCAACCAGTCTTGTTCGTATTCTCTGTTATCTGGTTCCTGATGTAGAGAAGCCACAGTTATTAAAGAAAAAAGAAAAAAAATCACTATAAAATCAAATGTCATAACGGTTTTGGGGGGAAACGAAATAAAGGTTGGGTTTCCTTTGGTACATCACGCTGGGTGTCTGGGCTGTTCTTTTCATCGCGTGCCGCGTCTCCCTGCCAAAATCTTTGCATGCACACGGTTGCTTTCAACTCCCGGAGATCACGTGGATGCAACTACCTACAACCAGGTTGTTTTCTTAAAGATAATGCAGAAACGGTGTGCTGTTGCCGTCTTCCAGGGCTGTATGTTTTGTTTACATCCTATCGTGGCCTCTCCTGGTGGTGTCCCATCCAAGAATTGATCACATCCACCTCTGCTATGTATTCAGACATTTTTTCATCGTTGTTTTAGCTAATCCACTTGGATAAAACCACCTTTCTTAGCCAAAAAGGTTCACAGGCCCATTTATTCAAACATCAACAGTCAGATTCTGTCCTTATGCTTACGAAGGTGTAGCAGGCAAGGGAGTGGAGTGGGGAGGGAGGAGGAAACGTCAATTTCAAATCATTTCTAGGCTGCTGGGTTAGGGAAGGCTGTCTAGCCTCTTCTGAGAATTGCGGACAAGTAACCCAATCGTCAGGATGTTTTTAGTCCTTCTCAAGGGGAGAATCTCAGCGTTACTAGAAATTCTGGCAGGAGCTGTGATGCATCTTTTCTGAAAACTTTCAACTATTACTGCTGCAAGGGCTTTCAGCTGGTAAATGATAACATATTTTGCATTTGGTGGTTTAAATGCCCAATCTCTTAATTTTCTGAGACAGCAGTATTCTCTGTGATGTACTAATTAGGACAAACTAGGGTTTCTCATTGTAATTCTGCAAAATGTCTTTAAGTTAGGAAAATCCTTAAAGGTGGACTCTTCCTGAATCCGTGTTCAATTATGTATCCCATTATTTTTTTTCTTTTTATCTCTGAAGTACATACCCTGTATACATTCACACATGCTTTTTATTATTAAATATGGAGAAGGTATACAAGCAATACAGATTTAAACAACAGTTAAAGAGTATTTAAAAAGTGCAAAAAGAAAGCTAGGGATTAAAAAATAAACATTTTTTGATCCCTCGCTTGCTGCTTGTGCTCTTTTTATAATTTTCCAATAACAATTAAAACACAGTTACAATTTTCCAATATACCGCTGATGAATTGTAAGCAATTGCTTTAAAAAACTCAGAATCAGGACTAAGCAAGGATAAATATCGAGAACTGCAGTCGACACACTGAATTGCCAGGTCAAAACTGAAAACCTGTACTCATTTAAATATCCCATGGAATTAAAATATAGACTCGGTACATGAAAAACCCAAATTTTGGATATGCCACAAATGCATGCATTGATACGTACATGCTGGCTGGGGAATTCTGGAAGTTAAAATCCACACACCTTCAAATTGCCAAGGCTGAGAAACACTACTCTAGACGGTTTGCACGGAGCAAAGGAAATAAGATTTTTATGAACGTTACCCAAAGCTGAACTTCACTGCAGAAAAGGGAAAGGGACTACAACTTTTTTAAAAATTGCAATTGTTAGAGGTTTGCCAAAATGTGCTGTTTTTGTACTTGGCAGTGAAAGGGTGCAGTGAGTTGCACACACACAAATGCACCCCCGTACACACGCAAAGCCCCCAAAAGAGTAAAACCAGATATATAATCGTCTAGTGCTTAAAAAAAAGGAAATCTTTAGGTTGGAAAGCATGGGTGCAAGCAGGAAGAGCAGTGAACCTCTGCACCCCAGATTTTTAAAAAATGCCATGCACGAAATGAGGCAATGGTGCAATGCAGGAATATCTGAACGCACTCCCCAAATTTCAATATTGCCTCCTTTGGGTCAAGGGAGAGAGAAAACAAAAGTAGGAAGAAAGGGCAAATGTAGAATCCATACTAAAACAGCAATGGATCCATTCTGAAGATTTTGACCACTTTTCCTCTAAAAGCGTGTGCATGCACCAAACTTCCATTTTCCTATCAACAACAACCCTGCGAAGTAGACTGCACAGCGACACGTGATCTGCCCCACGTCACCCTCTGAATATCCAGACAGTTGGAAAAGCTGTACTGCATTTCCCCATGGCTTTTCCTGAGCAGCTCCCCCAACATAAATAATTTTTTAAAGTAAGCCCGGAACATGCCCGACGGGTTCAGTCTGTACTATTTAATAAGTCTATGATTGCCCGGGGAGTTCTCAACGTTCACGGAAGTCCAGTCGCTACACGGATGCCCCTCTAGGAGCTTTCTCTTGCCCGAACTCTACTGGCCGCGGGACTTTCGCTCGCCCTCTTTCGGTCCCTCAGTCCTGATTGGCCAGCGTGGCCGGAAGTCGGTCATCCTTGGCAAGATTGCAGAGCAAACGTGCAGAAGAGCGAGGTCGGATTGGCCGATTGCAATGGTGAGGCTTGTTTTTGCGAGGGCGGGCAGCTTTCCTTAGGGTCCGGTTTTGCGGGGGGGGGGGCTTTTTTGCTTTCTTGGGGAAAGCGATTGCATTGGGCCCGGGAGGGAGGAGAAAGTGGAAAAGCGCAGTGTTGTGTGTGTGTGTGTTCATTGACTCGCCTGGCTGGCTTTTGCTACACTGTCTCCAGTTGTGTTTGCTTAAGCGACTTCAAAGCGCAGGAGGTTTACAAACCCGAGCAGGATCGCGGGGGACGGAGAGTTGCAGGGTGTATTTTTGTACATTTATTTATTTTTGGGGGGCGGGATAACACCGACCCCTCCACCTTTCGCTTCAGCAGTTCTTTCATTTGCCAAAAAAGGCACAGGAACATAATTTGGAGGGGGGGGAGGGAGTTGTGTGCCAGATTAGGGTTTAAGTCAGTTCCTCGACTCCCCCCCCCACAAAACAACCTGGTTTTCCAGATGTTTTGAGCCACAGTTCCTATGATGCCCAACCATCAGGTATTATTACGGTTGGCCGCACAGTCAGCCAGATGTTTAGGCTGGATTTGGCATTTTTGTCCACCTGTCGAGTCCTTGGGATAGGCAGATATTGTGGTTTGATGGTAAATAATAATAATAATAATAATAATAATAATAATAATAATAATAATAATAATAGTTGTTATTATTATTATTATTATTATTATTATTTCCTCCACATTTGTGAAAATATTAACATCTAGGGCAGTGTTTCTTAAACCCAACACATCTTGTCTTGGGTTAGCCACATAATCCCAAGTAAAGGTTCAAGTGCTCTTAGGACTCACATCCAGATGCTACAGTAGCAGATACTACTTACTGCATGTCCAGAATATTTTTTAGTGTTCAAATATGGAGAGTTGCACAGCTCTTAAAGCTACCTGATTTCCCGCCTATGGCAATGCTCTGTCACTTGAATAACCAATTTACTGGTATCAAAAATTGATCCCTTGGGCAAGATACAGGATCACATCTGCAGAACATATTGAGAGCACACATGC